TCTCCAGCCAATGGGTCCACGTTACCAGAAACAGAAGCCCACCTTGTCATTGTGCTTGAGTGGAGTAAGTTTTGCATTGAACCTGTGGGGTAGGGTGGGGAGAGGACTTTGATTTGTTTTAGTCTAGCATGCCCATTCCTTGTAAGTAGCAAAACTCTTTCATTGAGAGTAATAGGAAATGAACTCTTTAAAGGAGAAGCGTCAAATGATTTACAAAAAGCTTTTTATTTAAAAATAATATTTTGTTGTGTTTAAGGTGAAAGTTTACACAGCAAATTACCATTTAACAATTTCTACACAAATTATTTCATGATATTGGTTACATTTATCACAGTGTGTCTTCATTCTTATTCATTCTGTTCTGATTGTACCATTTCCAGTACTCTAGTTTCCCTGCTCCCTTACCTTCTCATCTTTGCTTTAGAGTCATTTTTGACCATTTGGTCTCATATAGGTGATTTTTTTAAAGAAGCTCATTACTTGAGGGTGATATTCTTTATTTTATGAGCCAATTTGTTATTTAGCTAAAAGGTGACATCAAGGGATACTTTTTAGTTTAAGACTTAAAGAGTATCTTAGAGCAACAGTTTTGGGGAGACCTGTAGTCTTAATCAGTCCGGTAAGTCTGGCCTTTTTAAGAATTTGAGTTCTGTTCCACATTTTTCTCCTATTCTGTCAGTTATCAATCTGTTGTTGCCCTGATCAGAATGATGGGTAGTGGTAGTCGGGCACCATCTATTTCTTCTGGTCTTAGTGTAGATGAGCTTGTGGTTTATAGACTACTTTCTTCTCTGAGTCTTTGGTTTCCTTCTTTCTCTTTTGTTCCAAGTAAGTAGAGACTAATAGTTATATATTAGATGGCCACTCGCAAGCTTTTAAGACCCCAGATATTACTTACCGCATCGGGATGTAGAACATACATTTTATGAACTATATTATGCCAGTTAACTGAGTTGTCCCACAAGACTATGGTCATAAGCCTTCGAACCCAGAAAACCAGTCTTGCCAGGTGTTTGGTTATATCTAAGAAGTACCCATAACTATGTCCCCTATGTGGTTTATTATATATGTAAATATACATGCACACTCAGGCCTATGTATACATATACCTATAGATTCATCTATCTGTGCACACATATACACCCACATATTCAAACCCATAGACATATATTCCTATATACATATTTGTGTAACTGTACACATATTTTTTGGTTGTTGGTGTTGTCGCAAAATTATATTTGTCATATCCTTTACCAAAAATGTCCTTTTCTCTTGTCTACTTCTTAGGGACATCATTTACCTTGGTCAAGGTGTGTGCGTTTCACCCACATTTGGTGCTACTTTCTCATTACCAAAAATAACAAGTGTTTAGTATCTTAAGAGTGCTCCGCCCCCACCCCATCCCTGGAACCACCAACGAGCATTGGTCTCTGTATATATATCTGTTCTTGTCTTCTTATGAAAGTGCAAGCATACAATA